CCGGTGTAGTCCGGTTTGGAGACAGCAGGTGACGGATCCCTGGAGCTTTCCAGATGGTGACATCCTGTTACGGGATACCGCTGAAATCTCCATTTCCCCCGTCAGTGTCTCCCCTGTTGGACACTGCCAGGAGACTCAATCAGACAGGAAGTAGCAGTTTGCTGGGAAAGACACCATACACAGGGTACATCAGCCGGAACTAAGTCCAGGCTTCTACCCAAATGTGTTTGTAGTACCAAATCTACAAGTGGCAGGCGTCCAGTTCTGGACCTAGGCAGACTGAATCAGTACGTGCTCCTCGATCGGTTCCACATGGAGACACCATTCAGGGTTCTTCTCTCCATCCACCGTTTTGACTGGCTAGCTCCACTAGACTTAAGCGGGCCTACCTGCACATACCGATGCACCCAGCAAGTTGCCTTCGAATCGCCCAGCTGGTCCAAGTATTTGAATTTCGGTTGGGCTCGTTAGTAAATCGACAAGTCCCACCTCGACGCAACGCGCAGTTGGTGTCCCTGAGCATGGAGTTTTGACACAGAGGTAAGCTTGGCTTAGCTATTTCAAGCATGTTGCTTAGCACTAAGCAGCCTAGCCGAATGCCTAGTCAGTGTTCCCTCAGTGTCCCTCCGTGAACTAATGCGGATCATCGGAATGATGACCTCAGTTCGCACCACGCAGCTGCCCAGTATAACGCTTGTTATAACGTCGAGCTCTCCTATGGGAACTAGATAGGCGGGTTTCGATCTCGGACCAAGTGAAGGAAGCCCTGCCCTGGTGGTCGTCACTGGCCAACCTCGGGCAGAGGGGCCCCCTTGGACCCGCTCACCACAGGTATGACTCTGGTAACAGATGCCTCCCCCCAGTGTTGGAGAGCGCATCTATTGGATGAACAAGCCCAAGGATATGACTCCTGCATTAGATTCGGGACTACCATATCAACCAGCTCAAACTGAGAGCAGTGTACTTAGCACTACCACATTTTCTACCCGTAGTTCAAGACCACAGAGGTCTGCTCCGCATAGGCAACGCAGCGGTGGTCTCCTTCAAGAAGGAGGGGGGACTCATTCTCCATCGTTGTCAGTTCTAGCGGAGCAAAATCCTCCTTTGGTGCCTGGAATATGTGGAGCTAACTACACACCACCTTCCAGGGGTGAGGAACAGTCTGGCGACGCCCTTTCAGGGCGACTCCGTCTCCAGAACACGGAGTGGCTAATACCCCAGTGGGTAGCCTCCAGGCTGTTGCGGCTGTGAACAGTCCAAGGTTAGACCGGTCTGCCGCACCCCGGAACACCAAGCTCCCGACGTACATAACACTCCTGCTGACTCCAGGAGCCTGGGCCAGGGTCGCTTTGCTTTGCCCGCGGACCCGCTTAGTTGTGTACGCCTTTCCTCCCTTCCCGCTAGTTCACCGGGCACCCGAGAAAACTTCGACAGGTGCACACCTGCATATTATCATTGGTCGTACCCAATTGACCAAGCAGGGCCTAGTTTCCACTTCTGTCGGAAACGATAGTCAAAACACCAGCAGTGCTTTTGGACTTACCAAACCTGCCGTCCCAACCAGACGACGCACTACCAACAAGCCCAGCGGGTATCACTTACACGCATAGAGGCTCTCATTAGACCCGCACATACGAAAGCTTTATCTGAGCGGGCTGCCAATGTCCTTGCCAGGGCAAACAGGGATTCCACCAATGCAGCCTACATTTCTAGGCTGCGAGCATACACTGATTAGTGTAGTGGAAGGGAGATTGAGCGATACCATCCCTCTATTGGCCACGTAGCAGGCTCCTTCGTCCACCTGTGTGTCGAAATGGGTTTGTTCTACGCAGCGATCGTTGGCTACAGGTTGGCCTTATCCCCCACCATTCAAACGTACGGGAACAAGACTAACCGATTGTCCTATTATTAGGAGACTATTTACTGCTTTCCAGACGCTGAGACCCCATACAAGAGAACCGCCCAACTGGGACTTGTCAGTTGTGTTGTCCGCTCTAAGCAGACCGCCCTTTGAGCCTCTCCGATCAGCACTACTCAAATTTTTGACGTGGAAAATAGTCTTTCTACTGGCCCTCGCCTCAGGTAGGCGTCGGCGAGAGCTGGGGGCATTGTCCTTCTCGGATGATGTACCGCCGTTATGGACAATCAAGTTGTGCTAAAGACATGAATCGGGTTTCTCGCCTAGAACCAAATCTCATGACACGATCCTCACCCGATCGTCATCCCCCGGCTGTCAAATTTTGTCTGCCTGGAGGGTCATGAGGAATTGCTTCTCTACCCGGTTCGAGCACGGAGTTGCCACCAAACCGTACTAGGATTTGGAATGGGGTGTCAGGCACACATCCTTGTGTTATGGCCCAGGCAGGCAGGATAGGCCGGCCTCCCCAACTACCATAACCAGGTGGTTTACTGCGACTGTATTAGAGGTCTAATACTTTATATTCCTTGACACAGAGCTTGCAGAGACACCAAGTACGAGCGCAAGAGGTCTGTGCGATGGCAAACTCACTAGTGCTAGCGTCAGGTGCCCCCGCCCCAAGCACACATGGAGGGCAGGCTTTTTGGGTATGAACTATGTGAATAGGTGGGTTCGGAGAACCCTCGCCTAAATTCACTACGTTCAATTACCCACCATACAACCCCAACAATTTTAGATTAGCTTCTGCAAGAGTTACTTTTGTGGTCCAACTTCGTAGGCAGATTTTTCAATGATAATATAAGCCCCCCCCCCCCCCCATTATTTGATGATAATTTTTTGAAACTGCCCTGGACGATTTTCGGATTGGCGAATTTACGGCAGAATCCAGTAGTAACAGAACAAACATACCTTTTCAGGAGAGGGCATCACAGACTCTAAACACAGAAATACCATACATTGTACCAATCACCAATTTGTCTTAACATTGTACATTATAGTGGTAGTGTTTGTAGACTCTAGGTAACTGATAAACCTGCATGTTTCTCAACACCTAATAAATAGGGACGTGTGAATCTGAATTTCATGTACTCCAACCAACAATTATTTTTCTTGTACATTGTTTCATGAAAAATATGACTTTTTTGATCATGAACACATGTTGTCATGCTTGTAAGCACATGTGCTACTAATAGAAAAAATGTATTTTGCTGTCATTTCAGTTCATGTGCACATATTGTGAAAAGAGAAGAAAAGTTTTGTTTACTTTGTGAATGTAAATATGAAATCCGAAATACTACAACCATAAAGGTAATGTATACAGCATAACTTTAGATGATTTGAAAAAAAATCATTAATTATTATCACCGGGCACATAGTGCTTGCAAGCATTGTTAGAAAATTAACCTTAGTAAGCTCCAGGTATGAAGGATCAAAGTTCCCAATCTCCAGGTACTACCAAAACAGAGCTGCTTCTCATTTTCTATCATGCAAATCAATATGGTATCAGCATCCACCAAAACCAAACTAATATTCAAATTATTTGATACTAACCCCCAAACTTGTTAAAGTAACATAATTAAAAAAAAAGATTGTATTTGATACATTCTCCTGTAAAAGATTACAATGATGTTAATTATAAACCAAACTATGCACACCAAAGCAAACCAGAACAACTTTTTTTCCAGAGAAATCCTTTAAATCCTCTGGTTCCAACATACCGGTATTTTAACACCTTTTATTGAGGAAATGCTACATACTATAGAGTAATGTATTTGAATTAACTAATAAATGAGTCACACTACTACAGCTGGTTGCCTAATAAAAGATTTAACTGTATTTGATTCAATGGCATAAAAACTAAGGCTTCTCACGAACTGGTAGTTTTTGACATGCCTGATGGTTGGTATTAAACTCTGTTTAACTGCCCATCTAAATAAACTTCAATGTGGAAATAAAGGGTTCAATTTGTGCCACTGCTCAACGTATCTTTAATTACTGTATGCTAGTTCCAGGGCCCATTTCATTTAACCACAGTTGCAAGTAGAATGTTTTCAATACTGTACCACATTTGTACATGGTTTTTAGTGCTTATTTTTGTTTCATGTCTCAAAATTACTTTTAAAATGAAGTAAGCACCTACACAGTCCATATGTTGCTTGTGCATACAATATATCGCATAATATTGTTGAATGACATTATTTGCATCATGAACAAATAATTATTTTTTAAGAGGTGACTATAGTTTGAAGTAGTTTATTTATTAGTTTTAGTCTCCATGGTAACATCAGTATAAACTTAATCAAGTCAATGGTAACATCAGTATAAACTTAATCAAGTCAATGGTAATATTTTCAAACAAAAAGTATAAAACATTGGAGCAAAACACGGATTGATAAGAACATGTAACTAATATTAATATTTCTTTTCAATGTGAGAAGACATGAAAGTGGGTTGATAAATTGGATCAATTGTATGGCATCTGAATGTGGTCATTTCCTACTAAGTGGTTGAATCATTAGTCCAACTGACATAAAAATTATACATTCAATTTCTCATATTTTCTGATTGTCCTATTTGTTCGCAGCCACTTACTGGGAGATTCATGAGGCCATACAATTCCAAATCACTATGTTGTAGACTGCTTCTAATAATTTTTTCATTTTCTGTTCTTTTCCATGTGACTACAGGTGATGGTAATATTTGTTGTTTGTCTTATTGGAGTACTTTTTGCATATATGATGATAATGATGTGTTTGGATTATATCTTAAGTCACAGGTCAACTCCGCATACTCAACGACTTGATGATGAAGGGGTATGTATTAATAACCATACATAGTCAGATAATAATGTGAGACGACAAGAATATAAGGTTATTACGAGGATACCTCAAAGTATGTACTCAGACAGTACTTGGTACATCGGAAGTACCGACCGAGGTCGAGCAGAGACCGAGCAGAGGTTGATGCGCGCCATACTGTCTGAGTGCATACTTTGGGGTATTCTCGTAATATCCTTATTATTATACATCTTTTCCATCCAAGGATACATCATGGGAATGTCGAAATCCAAAATGTTTAGAACAGAATCAACAAACTTTTTTGCATGGAGTTCGGTCAAACCCTAATGGCAGTCATGTTTGTTTTTATTATTAGAGGACGCTTACGTGCGTAATCGTTCCATAATTGGAATTCGCATTTCCTAATATGGTAGTATGAAAATACCCTGTAAAACACACCAAAATTATGGTACACTGTAACTTGTGGTATTACGATGACAGATGTAAAATAAGCCCATGAATTCTTCAGAACATATACCGTCAATATGGGAATAATTTTTTGAACATTTCAATTATTCCTGTTTTTTCGTATCATAGTCATTGATAGCTACCGTATTACCCCGGGCACGCGCCCAGGGGCCTGAACATACAAAATCGGGAAAAAATGGGGGTGGGCGCTTACCCGAGGACCACCCCAAAAAAGATTTTAAAAAGTTGTTTTTGTGATCGTATGATAAGGTCAAATAAAGGAATGCTTTCGTACACTTTGTACACGTACTTATTTCTTGATTTATAAGTGCGAGGTTTCAATAAACGTGAGCACTCGGTCAAGAACTGTGGGAACACTAAGACACAGGGTCGAATTTCAAGAATATAACTTGGTTTATGTCAGCGAATGAAGTTGTATTA